CTGCTGATTTATTCACAGACTTTCAATAAATAAATAATCAAATAACCTCTATCTAGCTACTCAGCTCCTATCCTATATTAGACATTTTTTTTGGTTTGTTCTTTAGTATCAAAAAGGTTCCTCTGAGTTTTTTATTCTTCCACTTTTCCTAATGAATCCTTCCCTGGAATGCTTATAGCTACTGAGCTAGTTCTGTTCTTGGATTTTAGCACTGTCTGCATGCCCTGGATAAGTTATTAATGAGATTTTCATATCCTACTCTCTATTGCTTTTCCATTTCTTACAAGGAATGCTTTTTGTCAATATACATTATCCATGGCTCTAACACAAATTAACCTGAGTTTCCCACTGACTCCTACTGAAAGCAGTATTATGGCCAGATTCCATGTGGCCCTTCCAGGTTTGCCCAAAAGAGGAGCACACAATAGTTTACTTCTTTGTGTCCCAGCCCAGCTACAAAGATAGTGGGCTTTTAGAAGATGCAAGTGCTGCTCTGAATTACTCTGCACTAGCACTGGCAGAGAGATATCACCATTTCCAAAGATGAACCTAGAGCAAAGAAAGGCTAAGGAAGCAACCAGAACTGTGATGGGGAACTGCACTTTTTTTCTTTAAAAACAGTAGTAAAAGCTTTCTAGCACTGTTCTGCAGAAAAAAAATAGTCAAAGAACCTTCCTTTATGATACTCTGAATTTATATTAATCATATTTGGGGACAAACACTGCTAGGTCTGGCTAGAGGACTAGTCAAGCTAGGGTTGTTTCCTGGCAACTGAAAACCTCCAACTATTTGATAAACACAGACACATATATGCATACATCTCTCCTGATCTGGGCAGGAAACAAAGGTAATCTGTGAAAAAATGGATTTTCCTTGTGATTGTGTTGGTGAGCACATCACACAACTTTTAATCACTAAGTCTGATATTCTACATTACACTGATCCTATCCAATGAAATATGCAGTGCTCCAAAGATGAAAGATCACACTTGCAAGTGCTCATTGCCGACCATCTCCCTGATAGCAATAGTCAGCAAGAATTGCCCTCCATTCTCTTCAGTTTTCTTGTTCAATTGATTTACAAAATGTTGGAAGAAAAGAAGATTTGGTCTGTCTGTATGAGAAATGCAATGCAGATGCTGGCTTAAAGCAATCAGAATTTTTGAAATCAGAGATGGTTCCTTCAAAATAGAATCACAGTGCATTTAATTTTCACCTACCTACTGTCTTATCTTCTTTTTTTTTAGCAACCAACATTCAACTCTTTGGTTACAATAAGAATGCCATTCCTGAAGCTGGTGAGACTGACCACAGTTTGCAGAAGGATCCTGACATTTCCACAGATCTTTTCAGTGTCAGTATGGCACTTGAAACTTCAGGCTATGAAGTCCAGTCCTCTGCCCTTGTAACTTCCCTTTTGTTTTGTTTTGTTTTATTTTCTCCAACATTTAAGTTTTCTATTCCATTATGTTTTACATGTTTCAGAGAGTAGAAAAGACAGAAGTTCTATAGCTGTTGGAAAGGCCAGTTTCTGATGTGAGAAAGTAAAGAAGGCTGAATAACTTATGGAGATAGAATACTGAAGCATCCAGCATGATCATGTCTGTTCATGGGCCAGAGGAGAGAAGATAAATAGTTCAATCACTTCCAGGTATTTTGGTTCCTTGCTTAGTTTTAGAGCCCATTAATATGTGGATTTCCTTTTCTACATGCTAATAAAAAGCAAAGGATTTATGAAAAAATGTTACCTTAAGTGTCTTGAAAACATTGCAGCAAAGAAAAAAAACCAAACAACAACCTTCATGATTTATAGAAAGTCATAAACAATTAAGGTTTGTATGACTTGCCATTTGCATGGCTATATTTCATACAAATTAATGCTCATGATACAGGAAATTTGTTTTGAAGTCAAACTTGTAATTTATTTTGATGACTAAACAGAAATGGCATAGAATGTTTGGGCAAAATAGTTCATTTCAGAGCTGAAAGTGCAGTCAAGAGTGTTCCAGCTGCAACCCTGTGCTTAGCATAAAATGAGTACAGAGAAAAGATTATCTCCCCTTGAATAAACCCCTGCTTATCAGTAGAGTAGGTTGAGGCATACATGTAAGTCATATGAGATGTCTCTAGCTTCAGGGGATGGTGCAGTGTCATCTTCTCCCTGCCCACACCCATTTTGCAGGTAATTTCATCATTGTAGTGTTAATACATCACTCAAGGGTCCCAGCTGGAAGGATAGCCAACACCTATTTATCTGACAGAGATGTACCACCAGTAAAAGTTAAACCTTCCTCATCAATCTTTAGAAAATAGTACTCAGTTTTGAAGAGCATCAGTAAAGCATCAAGTTACATACTGTCAGTACTCAGACCAAGTCTCCCAGTAAAATGAATTACAAATCTATCCCTTAATTCAAGAACTACCTCCCAACCAGACATTTACTTAGCTGAATTTCATATACAGTCTTTCAAGAAATTTATACATTTCCCTTTTGTTGGTCAATAAGTAGATAAAATGCCAGTATTAACCCAAAATATTTAATTACTAAAGGAGCAATTTTTTTACAATGAGCTGAATTCTTGCTGGAAGATATCTCTGAAAATGTCTTTCACAGCAAGTAAAAGTGGGCTGACAAAGAGCTCTTGCTTTCAGACTGCTTTAGAAGAATTCATCTCAGATCCTGGACTATTTCTGTTGCAGCATGTTAGGCCAGATTGTGATCCCAGTCATAGCAGTGATGTGTGCACGATAATGCAAACTGCTTTGCCAAAGTAAACATTCTACTGGTTTCAAATGAGCTATTTCAGATTCATACAAATGGAAGTGAAACATAACTGAGACTAGGTATCTTAAATTAATGATTTGTGGCATGGTCAGAATGTAGTAATCTCTTACAAAAACACTTTTAGAAATTCCCTGAGCTTACTAGGCACTTAGTGTTAAAAAAAAAAAAATTCCGTATCTCTTTTCAGACTACAGGTCAATATAGAACAAGAAATAAATAAACTGCTAGAAAATTCCTGAAATAAGAAACTACATAATTACGAAGCACTATGTACAAAAGCCTTGTTTGGTATGTTTTGTATCATGAATTATCACAACTGCCATTTACAAGTGTTCTTTTAAATTGTAAGAATCCATCCATCCACAACTGAAGTATTCTTGAAGATTAATGTGTCATGAATCACCACGGTTTAATATGCATGACACAGTTTCATTTCACACATATTCTGCATGGGTTGATTGCCATGTATACCAATAGAAAACAGATGTTAATTCTTTAATTTTTTTGCTCTCAGAGCATGTTTTAATTATCTATGAGGCTTCATAAAGGAAAAGAGGGAGGTTATTTTGAAGCAAATTTAATGAAAAATATAAAAGAAAAATCCATTAGATTTTTTTCTTTATTTCATGTTCTCAATAATACAATTTCAATATTAAAATAAATACTTGATATGCAAAGGAACTGCAGACTGCTCTCATTAAATGGCTCATTCCTTGTAAGCAAGAAAACTTTGATTATTTTTCTAATAAAATGCATGCTTTTAAAAGCCCTGACAATTCAACATGAGCTTGGTGATATGAAATGCTACTGCAAGTCATTGCATGTTTATACTACACCTAAATTCTTAAACTTGAATATTTTGCAAAGAAATCAAAACTCCGTGTAAAACATGACTATAAATTCTCGCATCAACAGTGTTTTATGTCCTATGTACCATCCAAATTAGTCTTTGAATATAAAATATCTCACAAGCCTCCCCTCTACAGAGGCCAGAAATGGAAGTGAGAAGATATACTAGGTTAAAAGTAATGTATAATGAGAAAGCTGTTTTAGTCAGCGTCAGCTCCCACTTTCTGCTGTGTCAGATGCAAGCCACAATTCTCCAGGACCAGAACAGCAACAGAGCCACAGGTCAGGACAGAATAATGTTGGATAAAAACTCTGAGCTTTAACTGATGCCTAATTTGATCAGAGTTGTTATTGCAATTTCCATGGAAGCTGAAGCATGTCTCTAGCTTTGGGCCTGATCTTCCTGAAATCAACAGGAATAGGAATGGCTCCCAAGGATTTTGCACTAGAATTAGATTCACCAAGCTGAAACAGTCTCCAAGTTGAAAATTACAATTACCAAAACTGTTACAAAAAATAATAATAGCAGTAGAAGTGTATATCTGAATGTTAGCTTGTATAAATACAGATAAACACCAATAGCAGATAAAATATTGTTGAAACTAAGATATTCAGCCCCTCCCTGTCATAGAGATTTTTCTGTACACAGTAATATTTTCAAGACTATAAAAATTATTTAAATTTCTTGCCTATATAACACATACTGACATAAGATGGCATACAGCTTTAAAATCAAAATGTGAACTGACATTTTGAAAAATAACAGACAGCAATGGCACAAAAGTGCAGTGACCTCTGTCCTCCAATATTCTCTTTTTCTGTATTTTTTTCTTCCAAATGCCCAAATAAGTGCAAGGTGCCCAGAAATGAAATGCATATTACCAGTGACACCCTAATTCCAAAGAAGTCAAAATCACAACATTTTCACTGAATTTACTGGGCCAAGGAATGAATCTAAAATGTAGAATTTATATACGTCACACAAAACATTTGTGCAGATTTCTGAAAACATACACCTATCGCATTGCAGGGAATTAAGCCTGCATTCCTTGTTCAACCAAAATTCCTTGACTGGAATAACAGCTTTAGATGTTATTTTTGTTCACATTCTGTTCTACTATGTATAAAACACCAGAGTTTTTTTCCTTTTTACTTAAGATAAATGTGTGAAAGTGCCTTCTTTCCATTCATAGATGTTATCTTCCTCAAACTTCAAATGATTCATCTGGGTGAATGTAGTTATAAATAATTTATCAAGATACATACCAGTTGTTAGGGAAAAAAAACCCTGAAGGAAGAATATCACTGCATAAAATCTAAACATTAAAATTGATTTTTAAAAATCAATCTTTAATTGGTTTTATTACCTCCTAATCCAGGTCTGAGGCGATTATCATAACCATCCAGAAGTCTGTCTAGAATTCTTGTAAAGATGGTGATGTTATTCTTAGCTTCGTCTTCCAGGGAGTCAGCCAGCACTGATCTAAATGGATATTTTACATTTTAGAAGGTGCTAAGTATGTTTTATCATACACTCAACATGCATTTTTTCAGGCTAGCCTTTACTTGATGTATTCCTACAGGAAAGGTGTATTTAACAGTATACGAATGCACTATTTAAATACAACAAGTTCAGGCATATAAGAGTCAACAGCACACTATTTAAAATAACCAGGAAGCAATTTTCCAGTAGCCTCTACTTGTAAGCATCATTGCATTACAGTGAGGGCTACTTCAAGCTCCACTAACACCATTAGTGGAGGCTGTGCTGGTGCAAAACCCTAGAAGAGCTTCTTGGGCTTTGGTGGTATGTCACTCCTGGACTGATAACCCGGGATTCCATGCACAAACCCATCTCCTTCCAGCTCTATCTTATCTGTCCTCACTTAGGTATACTCATCTCTGAATAAATCCTGTGCATTTGCCTCCACCCAATGGTCATGTAATGTACATGACCAGAAGAACTAACATGAGGGAAAACTCCAGCGATCATGCACAGGGAGTCCTCTGACGCCAGCAGTTGGTGGGAGGGAACACCAGTGCTGACTAGCAAGCTGCAGGATAGCTGTGGACAGCCTTCATCTTCCTAAAACGCTATTTTGTCATAGAAAACACTATCCGATACTCCACTAGATGCAGACAAACCTTAAAAAAAAGTTGTGTGGAAAGGGAAATCATAAATGAAGTGCCAAGAATAATCTGTAGACCACTGATTGTTCCAAACTTCCCAAAAAAAGAAAGACATTAGAGCCTTTGTGGATCAAACCTCTGTGGAACACGCTAGGGGCTGGAATATGAACCTGCTGCCCAGCCAGCCATGGTGCTCCACAGTGCTCTGGAACCTGGGCACTCAGACCAAAAGGGTTTGTGCCAGGGAAACCCTGACACGCAGAAAGCCTTACACATGCAAATGTTGCCGTGCCAACAATTTTAAGCACTATGCATGTGAAATACATGAGCTCATCAGTCATATCTACTTAAAACCAGCATATTGGTATCAAGGAAGTAAAGCATCATATGCTACACACATTACCATTTACATCTTTCTCATTTACCTAAATTTTTAAACCTAAATGTTTGAGCATTAATCATCTCAATATGAAAGCATTCTGAATGTCATAATAGCAAGCGTGTTTTCCTCCTCCTTCTCCAAACCAAAAGTGGGTTTGGATGACATTTTCTGTAAAGCAAGCTTTATGATTGTTTAAAATTACTAAAAGACAAGGCTGTATGTTGGTCTCCAGCTCAATAGCATAAACAAGTATTTAAATGTAAATCATTGCAGTCTGTGCTTTCCATCATATAAACCACAGAATCGACCCAAACCAGATAACTTATAAAGAACCCATGAAAATGTCATGTGTGATTACCCATGTGCCAGGTTTTTCTTAGTTGCAGTTACTGGACGGTTCTTTTTTGGTTTGTAAGATGGATCATTTTACTCATGGACTACCAGAGTATGTTTCTGCCATTTTTAAGCTTCTTTTTGAGATACAACAGTTTTTCAACTCAAGATTCCACTAAAAAATATTATATCAATACAATAACATCAAATTAGGGTCGAATCCTGCAAACTTTACTCAGGCATAAAGTCTTTAATAACGTATATGGTCTCTTTGACGTCAGTAAGATTACTCACTTGAGTAGGGTTTGCAGGATCTGGCCCACTGTGACTCAACTAATACTGCACCATAGTTAGGTATAAAGTGAAATAGAAAACAAAGTTTCAGAAAATATTTTCTTCACTGGGAAGCAAACAAAAATATTGGAGACTTCTTAAATCATAGGAAACTTGCATTATATACATACAATCTTTACCATATGAGGACAAGACCTACTGCAGCCAGAACTAAAGCAAGTAATTCAAAGTTACAAACTACAATTAATTACGTGTTTAGGGACCATGAGCAACACAAAAGGATAATGTAATAAAAATTACTTCCTCTTATGCTGTCACTTTAGAAATTGAGAACTTTAAACAACATAAGAAAAGTTGATTAATAAATGATGCTATTGTTTTATTATATGTGATTGTGAAGTTGTATGCTATCTCCACCTAGAGGTTTAAAGCTTAAGCATCATTTTGAATTCTATTATGTTTGACCAAAAAAAACAATCAAGAAAAAAAAAAGGCATGCCCATATTAATAAATATATGAGCATTGTTTTAAAGACAGTGATTTGCAGTCTGACTTCATGATAATCTATTTCTCCAATTTGTATGGTACAGAATCACAGAGATACAGTAACTCAAATTTTTAAGATTCCAAAAAGGCATTTAAGGAAGAAATTGTTATTTTAATGATGAAATAAAGCATCAGTTCACAAACCGTTTAAGGACAAAAGATCAGACTTTTATGGACCCTAAACTACATTCTACTGCATTTGTTCCCGAAACTATGTAATGCTGCATTCAATCAGCTAAGAAAGATTTTCTTATTACGTTACTATATACTACACTTTTATAACCCCCTCACACAAGCTTACCCTTAGGAGATTGTAACATACATGTTCAGACTGAACAACAAAACTAAATGTCCTCTCACCTTGTTGGTAGCCACACCAATAAAACGAGAAGAACCAACTGCATCTCGGAGAGTGCCAGCTTCCTCTTCATCGCTGCTCTTTGCAAAACCTAACGGTGCAAGAAAAACACAAACCCACTCTCAGCCACAGTCAGACTCCGCCAAACAGTGCTTTCAACTTAACCCGAGGAAAATATGTCACTTCACTGGAGAAAGGAAACCACTGGATTTCCGCAGCACTTTTCAGTACTAGCAACTTATTGTATCTCCATCTTTCCCAACGATCCTGCTCTGTGCAAGGAGGCAACGTATGATCAGAAGTGGCATGTGAGCCGGCGCATCAGATGCTTTCCTGTTCCGTGATGTGAAAGCCCCGAGACGAAAAGGAACAAAAAATATAAAACGTATGTATGGGAGGATGGGGGCTTAACCACCCCTCGCCTCACTACGGCACACCGCAGCCGGGGGGGCGGGGGGGCGGGCGGGAGGCAGAGTCATGCCATTCGCCGGGGCTCGGTGCGGGGACCGCGGGCGAGCCGCCCCCCGTCGCCGCCGAGCGCCCAGCACGTTTGACAGCTGCTCGGCAAAGCAGCGGCGGCCGCCGCCGCGGGGGCGGAGGGGGGCGCGGGGCGGCGGCGGCGGGGGACAGCCCCCGCAGGGCGACAAGTTGCGGAGAGCAGCAGAGCCCCCGACACGGGCGGGCGCTGCCCGCGCCCCGGGGGGCGACGCCGCCCGCCCCGCGCTGCCCGCGGCAGCTGGGGACCCCCGGGGACCCTACCTGGGAGCAGCGGGAGGGCGGGCGGCCGAGGCGGGGAGGGAGGGGGAGAGGGAGGGAAGGCGGGAGGGGAGGCGGGTGCCGCCGGCGAGCGGGCCAGGCGGCGGCGGGGGACGCGGGGCGGCGGAGGCGAGCGCGGCCGGGAGCGAGCGCGGCCGGGACCGAGCGCGGCCGGGACCGAGCGCGGCCGGGACCGAGCGCGGCCGGGACCGAGCGCCTCCCGAGCGGCGGGTGCGCGCGCGCGTGCCTGCGCATGTCGGGGCGCGGGGCTGCCCCGCGGGGCCGTCACGGGGCCGCGCCCGCCGCCCCCGCTCTCCGGCCGGAGCGGGGCTCAGAGCGTGAGGGCTCCCCGCCCGCAGCGGCACCGCCACCGGCCCGGGGCGGCTTCCGCGGCCTCGGAACCCGGAGCGGGCGGGGCAGCGTCGCCGGGGCGCGAACGAGAAACGGGGCGAAAAGAGCTCGCCAGACTGGCAGAACACATTTTCCGTAGCCCTCCCTCCTCAGCCTCTCCATCGCCCCTGGTCAAGTGTGCGTTTGCCGGGGGGCGGCCGCGCCGCGCTGCCCCGGACTGCGGCGGGAGCTCCGGCTCCCACACCCCTCCCCGGCTGCCTCATTAACATTCCCTTCCCCACTTGCCCATTGGCACAGTCTAATTGGAATGCAGAGAGAAGAAAAGTCTATCGTTCAACGTGAGCCCAGGATGCAGGCAGACAAGGAAACAGACCTCGCTTGTTTTTTTTTCTCTTTTTTTTCCCCCTCAAATTGCATTACTTTCTGGTATATTGTCTTTTAAAGCACGTTGCCCTCCTTTCGTATATGCAGTCCTTCTTTGGGAGTAACTGGAGCGCTGCTGGGATTCATTCCCATTGATTTCAGGTTTTCCAGTACAAGTAGAACAGGACAGGCTTGATAATTAAAGATAAGGGTTTATATTTAGTGTACCCTCATTTTGCATTGTTAACTCGGAAATAATTAAATAACGCTGGCAATAATATTCCAGTTTTTTTCTTTATAAACCAATCCTCATCTATCTCCTTTCCTTTCAAACTCTTAACTGCCCAAAGCACAATCTCAATTATCCTCTCTTAATGTCACTGGCCCGCTTATTGTGTTTAACTGAAATTATTCTGATTAAGTTTTGTCCTGAATCAATACCAGTTCCAAAATGAGCATGTGAAATAGGATGCATAGACATGGAAAGGGAGGAGGGGGGTAGGCGGAGGAGGTGGGTAAGGAACTAAGAGTGAAAGAGAAAGAAGTAGGAAAAAAAGAAGAACAAATTTTTTAGGTTACCTATATAATTGGGGTGTTCCTGCTTCCTAATTGTTGCAGTTTGCAATTGGAGGTGTCTGTGTTTCCTTCTCCTTTAGTGGTTTAATGACTCTACAGGAGAGGATGAGAAACAAAAGAAGGAAGAAAACCACTTGGGCTACCAAGACAATTTGTTCCTTCCAACTTTGAGATATTTTGTAACTTGAAGTAAGGCTGAGAAGAGAGAGGGAATAAGCTGAATGGCTTTGTTTTAGAATAACCACTAAAATGACAGCCCAATCTGTGGAAAATGACAAAGGACAGGAGCAAAAACTGAAATCTGAAAAACACTCTTTCAGCAGCCATCTGATCCTGGCTATGTCTAAGACAGAGGCCCTCATCTTTTCTTGTACAGATGTGAAAATATGCTCTGTTCATTGTCAGTTAGGTAGCCATGCTCAATCTAAAGTCTCATTTGGATCTGCCTGTAAATCCCACGTAGTAGGAATAAACAACTGATAATAGATGCAGAATCAACCCTCACAGTAAAGAAAACTAGTTTTAACTACTTGTCCTAAGAAAGAGTGACTTGACAGATATGAAAATGGAGGGGAAAAAAGAACCACTGAAAGTGAAGAGCCTTCCTGATTTATTCTTATATGAAACACATTATGTAATTCAAGAAGAATGATTTTTTTTTCCACAGGTATTCATGGCATTGCTTCTCAAAACACACTTCCAGTAATAATAATACTGAAGTTATATTCTAATTTTCATTTGTAATTTAGATCAAGAAATAGAAAAGCATATTCATTAAGGAAAGCAATCACAGTGGTTCCTTGTTGCTGTGATAGCATATTGTCATTCTTCAAAGGCCACATGGGGCAGGGATGTATTTACAATGAGCTTGTGCTCATAGAGTTTCCCAAGAAAAACCTGCTGGATTTTAGGCTCTAATGACAATTACTTCCTGTGATGTTCTTTGAGATATACCATAGCTTCATGCACTAAAGTCATGCTTCAGATCTGAAATTTTAAAATAACCCCTCATACCCATTTTAAATAAGTTGGACAGCCCTGTGAGGCATCCCAAATCACAGGAAAGCTGAGTACAGGGACAAACTACTGTGGCAACATGAAAAATCAGAGGCAATATAATTACTAACAGAGAGAAGGGCTTTTCTGCTAGGCTCACATACTTACAACCTGTGCTGCCAGTGAACTGGAAAGTATTTGGGAAGAAAATTGTGGTATTGCTGGGGTGTTATTGTTTTGTTGGGTTACATGCAAGCACAGCTCAAAAATGCTAAATGTGTTAGCTCTAGGTAGTTAGAAAAAGTGTGCTTGAGCCCCCTCAGGTGCACAGTCAGCAGGGAACCCTTCTTCCCTTCTGCACTATTATTTGTGGTGTGGTATTGAATTCTGTCATTCATTATTGAATTTCAATTAACGCTAAGTGATATGCGGCATCCAACACAGCACCTGGGTTTGTGAGACTCTCCTGAGTCCAGATGCAAGCACCCTGGAAGGTGGGAGTCATGAACTTGATTTGAATAGGGCTTGAAATAGTCCACAGAAAGACAGCAGGCCTACAAATTGTTACTTTCAAAGTATGAATAAAATGTTTTGCTTAAAAGGTTTTATTTCTTTTGTGCTATATTTGCTGCCATATATATAAATATTATTCAGTCCCTATTCTAATATTTTAAAAAATCTTAAAAACAAACAAAGGACCTTACAATCCTATTACCCCCCTTGCCAAGGATCTCAAAACTCTGCACAGGCTGATAAATGATGTTTCAGAATTCTTTTGTGAGATTGGAATGACTTCCTATGTGAGCACAAATTGAATAGCAGGGTAGGTATGTGACATTTCATAAGCACTTCTTACAGTTAGAGGTAATAGAAATACAGGAGAGGTTAAGCCAAGGCCTAGTCATTATCCAGACTGCAAAACACTAGATTGAATGCTTCCTTTAAAATTGTGCTTAAAAGAATCATTTATCTGACAGAGTTACACCATTCTTCAGACAAAATAAATTACTCAAAAACAATACCTCCAATTTGTAGCCATTAGGGAGGCCACAGTCATAATTTACTGTCATAGACACAATTAAATAATGCAAAACAAAATTTTATATATAATTAATACATTACATACATTAATACAATTCTGATCTGGGGTACATTCTGCAGTATAACATTTCCAGAAAAAATTTGGCAGATTGAGGTAATCAGCATTTACTTTATACTGCTTGAGAATAATCCCCACCCTTGTATCTAGGCCAGCAGCACTCTGAGCTGTAAAGATATAAACAATAATCACTGGAGTTAAATTAAGAGATGCATATGTGTGAAAATTGAAGCAATATATCAGAAATTTTTGTGTGTCATAAGCAGTGGATATTTTTAGTATAAATTATGCCTTTTATAAATATTTTTATCTCTAAAAAGGCATAAAACATATTTCAATATGATATACATTCTTTGATAGACTGTTTTATCCTTTTCAAATTTCTATTTATATTAATTAAATAGTTAAATATAAGTTCAAGTGTTTGAGATATATATCCAAGACATAATCTCTATGTAATTTTAAACACGTATGCTATCTTATTTCTGTAAATAATGATGAAATAAAATGTTGAGGGGAGGAATTAGTTTTTGACCTAGTCAGTCCCTAGACCAGCTAATCACGCAGGTACATGACTGCTAGTTTGAGAAAAAAGAAGGAAGAAGCTGGCTATTTTCAGGAACCCCATAAAATTATGATGGAGAGCAGATTTCTGTAAGACTCAGGCATCCAAAACTCCTCCTCCTTATGCAAAATTGTAGCCCAAATTTCTCAGAGTTGAAATTATTTCGAGATGCACCATCCAACACTAGATGCTAGTATAACAAGGAAGCACAAAAAATCTTACAACTTTATGCAGAACCCACCCTAGCAAGGGTGTGTGCAACTCTCAGAGTTTTCAATTTGACTGTGTCATGCACAGACTGGGAAGAGTTTCTGAGCTTGTTCAAAAACTCTAGCTATCATACAGTCTTCCTGACTGAAGAGCAAAAGCAAAGGGTCAGTGCCAGCTTTATTTCAACTGTGCGTAATCGGCTTTAAGTTGCTTTCCAATGTGCACTGAGAAGTTCAGCAGAACAGGAAATTGAAATGAGATTTCCCCCACCTTAAATATTGGTGAATTTTTCTTCTTGCCCAGGATTATTCTTCTCCCAGATTTGAACCTTAAATACCGCATGAGGATTTCCAGTTTTCTCCAAACGCAAAGATATCTACAGAAAGAGTGAGCAGAGAGTCTTTGCTGTCTATCAGGAGTTGTGAAACTTTCATCATCCTTTTAGAGTAGATCTTCCTTGGTGGGAGAAATGTAAGACAAGCGACAGAGGGCAATGTAACACATTTACCAGCTGGGACAGGAAAGCTTAGGTAAATAGAACTGGCTAATCACTCTTGGTCTGAGTTGAGAGGAAGGAGAGAGATCTGCTTTTATAAAAGCAACACTTTTCTTCCTCTGCAAATCCCTATTTTCTGTTTTATAGCTATGGCTAAAAA